GTTTTCTCTATCCCTACCGTAAGGAAAGGGAACGGCCTGGCTTCTGGGGCAGGTTGTGCTCAGAAGGGGTCGGATCACGTCAGCATTTACACCATCAGGCTTTTAATTGAGGACAGATGACTGTAAAGGGCTTTTCACTTTTACTGAGTAAATCGGCCTCCCTTCCGCTTTTCCAATGAATTAAAATCCCCGATTCCCGAGTGAAACACTTTAGCTATCACTTTGCATTCCCGTCACACGCCACCTATCAAGGGCTACTCAGCCAACTCTTAAACAGCAGCAATTTTAAAGGGGACAGGAAAAAGCTTAATAGCTTAATGTCGCTGCGAAACAGCGAAACCTCTTCAGAAAGAGAGACAGCCAGCCACCGGGAGCTGCCCAGCCCCTGCCCTCTCTCAGAGTCACTTGGTCCCTCTGAACCCCCGTCTCTGCCACGAGCAGACAGATCCTCGCTCAGGGGAAGAAGAGGAGCAAGCCAGCAGTTATGGCATCGGCTTGCGGAGGGACACGTGAAGGTTCAGTGCCACCCTGCACCCCAAAGAAATCATTTGGGGAACACATACGCAGCTGGATTGGTGTGTCTAGCTAGCAGGTGTGATGAAAACTGCAAGGACTCAGCAGCTTGGTCTGGATACGTTCAAACCTGATGAGATTCTGGCACACCCTTGGCCAGGCAGCCTCTGACATTGCTACCGTTACCTGCTCCTGGTACCTGCTAGATTTACGCCCTCCAGCTGCACCTCTCTGGGCAGGGAGGTGCAGGCTCAAGCCCGCTCTCCGCACCAGACTCATTCCTCATCCACGCAGCAACTCCCCAGTTTGCTTTGTGCAACTAACCGGCAACATTTAAGCCACTCGGCCCAAATCGCAGAGCTCTGCTGGGAACAGCCAAAGCCTCGACGGGAGGCTAGCTCTCGGTCTGAACTACCCTGGTGCAGGCTGGGCTGAGCACCGCGTCTCAGCGCAACGCACCCAGGATGAGCTACAGAGGGCAAATCACAGGACTCGTGCTGAAGCCTGCTCTGACCGCGGACATGGACACCATACCTCACTTTCTGGGGGTCAACAAGGTTTAACCTGCCTCACTGGGAGAATAAACCATTAAAATTGCTGAGATAAAAAAGCAGGAGTTGGGACCTGTTAAAAAAAAAACTGGCTGGGAGACAATGTAGTATTTTTATATGGAATATATAACATTCCGGGGTCCGAAAATGCACAGAAAGATGCGGAGCAATAGCACAACCCCCCCGTTAACCCAGTCCCAGTTCTCTCCTCTCGCTCCCAAAGGTGAATGGGAGGCGCTTGCTGCTTACCGAGGCTCCACGAGCTGCTGCAGCCTCCCTCGCCCTGCGCCTGCTGCTGGCTTTTCATCAGCTTGGCCGTAAAGGAGGGCATTGAGCTGAGCGCCGAGTCCAAGGCGGTGTCCAAACTCTCCGACAGTTTTTGTTCGTGAGAGACCAGATCTGCAAAGAAAAGCACAAGCTCGAGAAGCAGATGCTGGGAAAAAGCAAGCTGCCAACGCACAACAGACGTGCTGCTTTGCCTCTGAACCTTTCGAAGGGACAACACTCGGGATTTTAGGAGCTCTGCCGCTTGTTTTCTCGAGAGGTCTCTTTCCCCCACCGAGGTGCCAAGATGGGGATGTAGTGCTCATTTAGGACCTTTGGGTCCTAAAGATGAGAAGTCCTACGGATTACTCTCAGACATTCATGCCGTGCCACAGTGCCAACAAACGCTCAGGTGCTGCCTCGTATCTGCAGGTCTGAATGAGGCCAAAATGCCAAATGATCCAGACACCCATTTCTCTCCACCCAGGGTTGCAGCCCAGTGCTCCCAGGCTTGCTTCGTGCAGCTAACTGGGAATATTTTAGCCGCTAATAAAATCTGGGGGACTTTTCTTTTTTTTTTTTTTTTTACTTTCCTCTCTGTCCCAGTTCTGACTCAAGCCCCAAAGCCAAAGGTACAGGGTGGGACCCTTCCCTGCGGTGTACAGCAGCGTTTTGTCCTGTGCAATACCAAAGGCGTTAATTTAATACCATGCATTAAAAGAATGGTGTCTGCATCACTCCGTTAAATCCATCTCCCAAAGGAAGACCTTTGAATTAGCGCTGCACATTTGCTACAGCAATCAAGGCTGATGAAATACTGAAGCACGAGCTCCCTGGGCCAAGCAATGTGCTTTTATTTATGTACGGGCACGGCTCCCTCGGGAGCTCCAGGACCCCACGGGGCAGCCCCTGCTCCTGGGGGCTGGGACACATCCCCAGCAGGAGCTGTTACATGTCTCTGCAACAAAAATAACTAATGATTCATCCTAAAACAGGGAATGAGCTCCAGACTGAGAGATCGGAGCAGAAATGTGCAGTCTGACTTCTTCCCACTGTTGCCAGTATCACCAAATATCAATTATTTTCAACCAAGTCTTTAAAGAATTTATTTAAAATCAACCAACCACCTAAGCCTTTTCCTTGAAACATTTTTGGGCAATTTTGGGAGAAAGGTGAAGAGAGTGACAGGTACCAGCAGGCATTAACAGCAACCAGAAGCTGTGGGGCACATTTGATGTGTTACAGACCACCTAGTTTACAGAACACGAGAAAACTCGACTTACCTGCCTAGTGAGACAGCCCTTCCGTGAGCAGAAGACACCTGTGGATTTATACCATCCTACTCAGACCACACCGCTTGCAGCAGACGGCCTCGCAGACACTGCTGCTCTCTTCAAGCTCATCTAAATACGAGATTGCTAAAGATTTTCCCACCTCCCAGCTTCAGTTTACCTTCCTCCTCCAGTGAGATTATTACCTAAAGCAGTAACTCAGTTTAATGATACCAGAGAGAAGATATAAGCGTTGCTGCGTGCAGTACAGTTAAATCCACGTAACATTTGCACCACCAGCAACTGCAATACGTTTCAGGAATTCCTGTGCCAAGAAGGGAGAAAGCAAACATGGCAAAATAGATGTGGATTCGCGCAAAAGATGCAGCGCGGAGTTACGAGAGGCAATTGCCTGGGAGCCACGGACTGGAGGCTGAAAGTACCAGTCATAGAGAAGAAACCATAAAGAACGAACAGATTTTGGGGAGAGAGGTGTGAATCTCCTCGGTATTTAACCCACAGATCACCTTTGGTTTCTAAAGACTTGTCACCTCCTCACCAGTCCTGCCCGCCCCAGCACTTGAATGCTGCTGGACCTACAGAGTATCCCACGCGCCTGCTCCCAGCGCTCCATGGATCCAAAGATCTGCCTGCGCTGCCGCAACGCTGCCTCGGCTGCCTGGTGAGAAGCCGTGGCACGGCTGGGGACCAAGGTGGGTGAAAGCACTCAGCTTTTCAGGGAATTTATCTCAGGGCTGCAGGTCTGGACTATTTTTTCAGCCTCCTGGAGCTTATGCCCAGTGGTGCTGCTACCAGATGGCTGATAAAAGCAAGGTTAAAAGGAAACCATTGCCACGTCCTCACCATTAGACACAAGTCGCGTCCCCTGTCCCATGTCTCTAACTTGTTTTTTGCTTTTAACTAGTTGCAAACCCTGGGCAAGTCTCTCCTGGTCTGTGCTGTCACGTGCCGTCCTCTCCTCCCTGCTCCGAAGGCAGCACTGCCTGCGATTCCCTCGCTGCCATCTGTTCCGAGCCCCCGCGCCGCTGCACTGAGATCAGCGTAGACCGGAGGCTGCGCAGCGACACGAAAGCTCAGCCTCTGCCACAGCCAGAGCAGCCCCGTGAGAAGGTAAGCGGCCAGCCTGTCCCGGGGACACAATCTGCGCAATGATTCTGAGCGTGCAGGGAACCAGCTCCGCAAGAGCCCAGGCTGGCAGCGCCTGGCCAGGGAAATCCGTGAGGAGGATTAGTGCCCTTTCCTGCTTTCCTCCCCACCTCACTCCTCACGATAAGACCCACATCAGCCAGGACTCCCCGTGCCATCACCACTGCACCACCAGACACTTCTTTTCCTGCTGTTGCGTATTTTCTTGCTGATACAAAAACACATTGGCTGGCTGGGATAATAAATCACCCATGATAGAGAAAGTTCAAACGAGCACACTATGAGAAAAACTTTGCCTCCACATGGACAGTGGCTTGAAAGCAAGGAGAAGAAAGGAAACACAAACTAAAAGGGCAATACAGCGACCTGAGCCAACAAGAGGGCTGTGAAAGAGACTGCACAGGTAACACAAGGAGAACAACGAGCCTACAGATGAGAAGAAGTGAAACAGAATGGGAGCAAACACCCTCCAGGATAGCAGGCTGTGCTGCACAGAGGGGAGGTGAACGAGCCGATGACCTGACTCCCACGACACCTATCAACAGCAAAATACAAAGGCCTTAAAGCTTTCTAGAGGCGGGATGGGAATCTGTACTGGAGCCTCCCGACTTGAAAACCTGGCCCAGGGCTGTCAGGACATTCAAGAACCACAAGTGACTTAGGGAGCCACGATACCTGTCGAACAGTCCATCTGGATCAAATGCGAGTCACTGTCAGTTTTCATTTTTTTAGCACTGTTCTCTGAGGTAGACGTGACAAGTAAGTTTGTAGAAGAAAAATAGGGCGGCTGCACGGAGCTCTGATCCATACAGTCCATTTTCCTTTTCAGAGAAGACATTGTTATGGAAGAAGGTACGAGCATTTCTGAGGTGTGAGCCCTCCCGAGCAGGTTGGTGCCAGGGATGCTGTGCTGTAAGAGGAAGTGGTCTATCCTGGCCTTGAGGGTAGGGTGAGGTAGGGGCTGCGAGTGCTGGCTGAAGGCCACCCCAGTGAAAGGATCGCTGGGTACCCTGCCCCAAGACGCCTCACTCCGGTTGCATTTTTCCAAGGTGGTCTGGTCGATCACCTTCCCGGAGGGCAGGAGCATGGGGAAGGTCATGATCTCCAGAGTGATGGGGTCCAGGAATTCTTCGGGGATGTCTTGGACGACGTCCACCAGCTTACGGAGGGTCTGCTGCTCGCTGTCGTTGGCGCTGAAGGGCACGCAGTCGCTCTCCATCGGTGTCCAGAGCTCCGGTTTGAGGCTGCCAACGTCCTGGGCGAAGAACTGGGAGGCGACCTGAAAGACACCCTCGATCACCTCCTGCGGGCACGATTTGGCAGGCTGTCCCCACACCTCCAGCCTCTTAATGCAAGGCAGGCCACCGCCGGCCACATGGGTGATGCAGATTTTCAAGTGCGACACGTTGTTCAGCGAGGCGGGCCCTTTGTTCCAGAGGTCTTGAGATGCAGAACCAGGGTAGGAGAAGACATTTTCCATCTGATGGAAAGGAGGCCTGGGCTTGAAGCCTCTGTGGCCGAACGTCACTTTGCTTTGATTTTTTAAGACTGCTTTTCCCACCAGTGTGAAAGTGTCTTTGTCTGACACTGGCTGACCTGCCAGACCTGCGAACTGACCCTCAGGGCTCTGCCAAGAGGTTTTATTGCATGAGGTAGAGGTGTAAACTTCGAGCCCGGAGAAGGTTTGGTACCCTCCAGATGAGATGTCGATATTAATCCTGCAGATTTCAATGTTGAAGGGAAAAGAGATCGTGACGTGGACTGGAGGTTTGATGAAGTATTCGCTGCGGAAACCACGATTTCTCCTGGCAAGGTCTTCGGAGATCAGATTCTCCACTTCGTAACCATCAGCAGAAATCTGTGTTTCAGGAGAAAACTGGATTTAATTTGAAGCAAGAAAATAAAAGGAAACTAATTTCACAAGCACTTACGCAGCTTCGCAAGATGACATCAACTAGGAATCAAGACTGCAGTTTTATGCGCAGCTGAGACAACACAGGAGGTCCCTGCTGCTGAGACAGACCAGACCCACTCCCACCCTCCTCCAGCCACGCTGTCCCCGGGGCTTAAAAAGTCCGCAGCACTTGCTGAACAAATAGATAACAGCAAGGAATATTTATTTATTGCACTTGCTTAATACGGTCACTCTACGCCCCATATTGCACTGAACGTCAGTAGCACGGCTGGGTCAGCACACCACCCGGATGGACGGTCACTAGTTTTACAGCACAGTATTTACAAATCCAAGGCTGTGTGAGCTGGTGGGGAGACTTAGAATTAAAAAAATGGCTCCGAATTAAAACCGAGTTCGTTTCTAAGAGATTCTGATTGATGCTGAGTGAAAATGTAACTGCTTGTAGAGTAACTTCAACCTTGTCAAGAGCTGCATATTCTACTGGACAAAGGGAAAGCTGTAATATTGCAGGGAAAAAAGGTATCTCCAGTCAAAGCACACATACCAGTAAGCACGTAACATTCTCTTGTTATGAGATCCTGCAAAATTAGGGCTTTTTCCCTCCAACAATTGCTGTGTGCCACGTCAGAGCAGTCACACGAGGCTATACGGTGTCCTGACACTACCTAGCAGAGATTAACCATGGACAGCACAAACCAAAATTTGAGGAGTAACTTCTGGGAAATCTCTCACTACTGATTTTTGAAAGTACTGAGCCTTCAGGTCCACTTTTATCTTCAGGTGAGCTGCAGATCCCAAGCACCCAGACACGGGTTTCTCTTTATGCTCGCACATCAACGACTCTTTCAAGACTGAAGCACGAAAGGGGGAAGGGATCCAGGAGCTCAGATTCCCAACATCAGTTGGAATCCCAAAACCTCCTTGCTGGGAATGACAGGAGACTGGGGAGCTTGGAAGGGAAAGCTGTGAGCAAAACGACCTGAATCACAACCCTCCCACATCACCGGCAAATGATTTTAATTGACAAAAAAGCTCTCAGCTCTGCAGGCTAAGGAGCCTACACCTTACCTTCGTTGGGACTGCATCTGTCCTCAATGCTTCTCTTGCTGGTGGACACACGCAGCCTCCCATGTTAAAATCCCTCTCTGAACCACCCAGAGCACACAAAATGACCTCACAGTTTGCTGTGAGTTGCTTTTGCTTTGTTTTCTCAGGAAAACCTGGTGTGACCAGCCAAAAATCAGTCTTCCAGAAACACTGCTGATCATCACAGAGGAGCAGCAAACAAGCCCTCCCCAGCCCCAACCAGGCCAGCATGCCACTTCCACCTAACCCCTCCATCCCTCCAGCTCCCTAGAATGCCACACGTTATTATTTTACCTTGTTGCAGTGAATTCTTGGCTTGAACTGGGGGAGACAGACGTTTATTACCATCTTGGCAGCTGGAGAGAGCTCAATTTCTGAGCATCAGATTCAACTTGCAAAAAAAAAAAAAAAAAGAAAAAGCAAAATAAAGAAAGTGAACATCAGTGAACAGTGAAAGGATCTCGTGTTTCAGAGCCCGTATGAATTACAAGCTCGGTAATTCCTAAAATGCAGGTCAGATCTGAGTCCAGGAGGTGAAACCAATATAAACTCAAATGACTGCGGTGGGGAGACAAGATTGAGAGAAAAAATTGCATTAATTAGCGAACCGCTGGAGAAACATCAAAGAGAAAATGCCTACTTTAGCAATTAGATCTGAAAGTTTATGGAAGACGCAGGTTCTGTAGATACAGTAAAGCATCAGAATATCACACGAGGTTATCAAAGCAATCCGTGTGAGCTCTCAGCAGCCTCAGTCGGACCTGGAGGACGTGGGGTGGGTGCTGTGATCCGACCAGCGCACTCAGCAGCGTCCATTCCCACCCTGCGGCCTTGAGCTGCCTGTTTCGCCTCCGTGCCCGTTTCCGCCCCCAGCACACCACATCTACCTGCTGCCTTCAGCAGTTTGAGGCAGGACCTGCCTGCGCTCTTGGACAACACCCGAAACGACAAGCTCAGGATGAGGGTAACGCCAGCCGGCTCTAACACACTGCTGCCGCAAAGAGAAATGTTTCTCGAGGGCTTCAGGAGCCTCAGATGTAAGCGAAGATTAAACACAAATATTAATAATCGGTACTTAATAGCCCCAAGGGAGCAGAGGGCATTTAATAGCTCTGAGGGAGATGATCTGTGTTCTGAACGCTGACCCAGCTAACTCTTCTGACAACGTTCATTAAAGAAACTCAAGTGAACCCGCTTTCCTTTCCATTGAAAAAAATGTGACCCGAATTGGTTATATCAGATCCCTTTTAAGAATGAAATTATCTGCGAGGTAAGAGTTTTAACCTTACGTTAACCTTAGTTTTAATTTGTCATTGCCTTGGGCAACCTTGCAAATCAGGAACCCACTGCTTCCTTCAAGAACAAGCAGCTCTTTAATGATTTTTCAACTGAAGCTGTTAGTTCAGCCAAAATGAAATTGGCCTTCTGGGGGCACGTCGGTCCACTGAAAAGCGGAGCGTTAACGAGCCGGCTCTGCCTGCCTGCTAAGCGTGCGGGTGCAGTCCGTTCTGCGCAACAGTCTGAAATGAGAAAGGTATCCGAGGTACGAATCCCACATATAAAAAACCAACACAACAGAAGCCAAGCCTGCAGAGAGCAGAGCTTGAAGGTTACAATGACAACGGTCGACCGAAGCAGGCGTGAACCTAAGAGCACCCCTTGTAGCCCAGCATTTGGTCTGACAGCCATCAGGAGCAATTCCTGCTCCTCAGCAGGGAACAGAGGAACAAGGTAAGCATGAACCAACGCTCCTCCCATACTACTTTCTTGGCTTGCTGAGCCTGAGGCTTCGAGTACATGGCTGCCAGAGAGGAATTGTTCAAATAGGCTTTTGAACTGGTCTGACTTTTGGCACCCACATCCTGTGGGAGTAAGATTACTGGTTTAACTACAGGCTGTGTGACAAAGCTACTCTTTTTGGTTCATTCTGAACCTGTTGCCTGGTAAATTAGCTTGGCCCTCAGTGCTGGTGTTACGAAAAAAGGCAAATCAACTCTCTTTGCCCCCTTTCTTGGAATGACTCAAGCTTTTCCCTCTGCTCTATTTCTCCTCACATCCCTCTCCTTGGCTGAAGACCTCTCTGTTCCAATCTGACCACATTCAGTCTCACTAGGACCTTCTCTGAATGATGGCAAGAGGCGCCTTCACCTCTGCATCCCTGCAAACTCACCGCTTTACGGACTCACTTCTCATGAGCCGCCGAGATCCTGCCTGCGACGGACGCCAAATTCTCCCCGTGGACCTCGCGGTCGTGCAACCACCTTGTCTTCTGTAGCGCTGCCTCGCGCTAGGCAAATCACAGGCAGGCACAAGCCATTCCTCAGGACAGACTCACGCCTTCTTCCAAGACTACCTTGAGGTTGCGTCCTAAATCTTCATCTTTTTTCTACAACGCCTTTAATAATCTATGGCAATTAGCTCTGGTTAATTACAAACAATTTGTTCTCTCACTAAATGCTGTCTTTCAATTCAGTTGCTCCTTGTCCTGCAGCATGAGGAGCTATGTATGTATATATGGGTATATTTTATAGGATTTTCTCCTACCTGTTTGCGACCCTGACAGACTTAAAACAACTCAGGCTAATTCTTCAGGTTCAACACCTCAGTGAGAAAATGCATTATTCTGCATGTCCAAATCACCGCTCTCCCTTCTTCTGAAACCTCTGCTACACTCTTGCTTCACAGCAAAAGTCGGTCACCAAGTTGCCTTTACCCACGGCTGTGAGGTTTTTTTATTCTTCCCATGAAAACGCAACTCAGCAGACAGACAGTGGGGATGAAGAGACAGATTCAATGAGAAACCGGAATGAGATTAGGATTAAGCTTCTGTGTAAAGAAGGAAAGCGAAAACTGGCTGGACACACCGTGATAGGAAAGTAAAGGGGCTGGCTGGGGCCAGAGAAGCAGGCTGGGAACAAGAATGGGCAGGGACAGGCAAAGGCAGGTGAGAGGAACAGGTCAGAGGAGTGGCCAGGATCAGAAGGGGACAGTGAGCTCTGGCAAAGAGCCTGGGCTGAAGCAAGAGCTGGGGAAATGCAGAATGTAAAAATCTCAGGGAAAAGAGTGGGATGGGGCAGCAGATGTGGCTTCCCAAGGCTACTGCTGCCATCACGCCCCAAACTCGTCTGGAGGTCTCCCATGCTAGCGACAACTCCCGTGGCTGCGGCATGAAGGAGGTTCTAAATATATGAACACTTAAAACATACAACACGCACAAACCTGCATTACTAAAGTCATTACTCATCAAAACAAACGGCACAAAGATCACGAAGGACTCAAAGACATATTTTCTATGCCAGCAAGATCCTCTATGATCTCGCCAAGTCATGTAAAACCAGGCTTTCTGGAGCTCGTCACTCGGTGCCTTCCTGGTGTCGTACCTACGACTAGAGAACTGCTGCACTAAGGAACGTGCATCGTGGACACTGAACTAAGGCACTCCGTAACGCTGAGTATTTGAGGGAGAGGGAAAAAAACAGCCCAGACATTTTAAAACAGGCAGCCAAAATGAACTAAGATGCAATATCTGTCTTGGGACACCAACCTGCCTCTTGCCACCCTCTTTCCCCACCCTCCACCTCAGCATGCCTTCTAACGTCGCACTGAAAAACAGAACAATAGCTCAGCGGCTTTTGCAGTGGGAATGGGAGTTTCACCTGCTGCCCCATATGAAATAATCCCTGCAGCTGCGGTCAGATGCACAGCCTGCCCTGTGCACCTCAGGAAACGTCCCTCCTCTTGGGGAGAACCGCCACCTGAAAGCCACCTGAAGAAGCCAGCAAGTCCGTCCTCAGAATGGCGTGTAGAAATCAGACACTGGGCCACGTCCAGAGCAAGAAAATAACATGGTGAGACATGTGATGGAGGACGAAACCAGCAGCCTCCAGAGCAGACGCTCCGCACAGCTGGAGCTCGCACTCTAGTCTGCACAGGACTCGTCGTCACTCAGGCAGGGGCATCACCTCAAGGTGGATTTGTTGGCCCCATTCAGCTGCAGACGACATCAACAAGATGCAAATCCTCTCTGCCAGGCACTGCTGAGAGCTGAGAAGGAAATTAATGTCTCAGGGTCAGAGCACCCCAACCCTCAGCCCCAGCTTCCATCTCATCACTCAGCTCTCACGTTCTGCACAGCTCCTAACGGAGAAACTCCGACTGCGTGCCCACTGACCCCAGCCCAATGGTGATGGAAACATACGTATTTCCTTACTAAAAATCACCCCAATTCTCTCCCTAGTATCGCTGCTCTGCTCTCACAGAGTCACCAAATCCATCCATTTTCATTTAGAGCGGAGAAAAAAGTAATCACGGAGAAAAATGAATAGGACAGTAGTTTTTATTTGTCATGGAAGCATTTGAGGATCTGCGTACAAAAGGAGAGCACGGGACACACCACTGTCAGCAGAGCAGAACTGGCTAACAAAGCAAGGCAGCCTGAGCACACGGAGCACCTGCCAAAAGCTTAACCAAAACTCAGAGACCATTTCAATCAGCACCCAGAAAGAGAGATGCATCTGGCAGGCTGTCAGCCTCTGAGCAAGCACTACACTGGACTAACCAGTCCTGCTAAGGAGCACTGGGTTGAACACTTTGTAATGGAGGTAACTCAGTTTCTCCAAACGCGTGCGTTTGAGCAGAGGAAACCATTCCCAGAAGGGAAGCTCAACCACCACGTACCCCAAATGCCGCAGCTGCCGCCGTTTCAAACAGTGCAGCCCCAAAAGCCGCTTGGAGCAGTAGCAATAATGGTTTCGGTTGGACACCTGAATAGCCAGTTTCACCACCCGAGGCTGCCGATTCAACGCAAGAGAAGGGGGGGCTTCAAGACGGCACCCCAATTTAGGCTCAACTTGCGATCTGGCATCTGCGATAAGAGCTCCACCTGAAAGTGCAGCACGATCCCCAGTGCATGGTGTTCGTGCTTCTTCCCTCCTCTCCTGACCAGGAGTCCTGGCTTCGTTTTCCACTTCCACGGGAGACTGGCTATTCGATCTCCCTTTTATAAGCTGAGACATTAAGTCATCCGTTAGACTAACTCCGATGTCTTTTAGTTTCTTATCTGCAATAGGGTCTTTTAAGTTGAAAGGGATGGGGTGTCCGTCCATGGCCAAATGAACCTCCAGATCACTCGATCTCGTGTGAGGCAGGATCATGTGGTTTTTCACATATTCAGGGCCACCTAACATGCTCTGGAGAAGAGATGTGGCTTCCACAATTTCAGGCCTGACGTAGATTTCTTGCTCTGCAAAATTCAAAACCATCTCAGTGATCTCTTGAGAAAGCTGAGGCGGAAGGTGGCTGCCTTGGTAGCTTGGGCACTCAATTTCAACGCTCTTACTAAGAGTGAACAGGTCCTTTTTGAGCTCATATTTACTACCTCTCGTTTTCTGGACAAACTCATCCCTCAAAGCATAGTTTATCAGC